GCAGCCCTGCCCGCAGCCCTGCCCGCAGCCGGGCGCCGCCGCGCCGCGGCCCATCTGCACCTTCTGCCTCAGCGAGCAGCGGAAGCGGGTAAGGGCCGGCTCCCGAGGATCCCCCTTCGGGCGCTGCTCGGCGGAGGGTGGTTATCGGTCTCCACCGCGGGTGTGGGGTTGTCCCAACCGAGGGTTGAAGGGCGTCCGTGGTTTCTCCTAACCTGTGCTTTTTGTCACTCGTACAGCACCGAGAAGGAGAGAAACCGCTGTCCGGTCCGGCTTTAGGTGGGCACTGAATCGGCTGAGAATCTCGGGCAAACCTTGCAGTGACCGGACTGCTCTGGGTAACGTCGCCGCGCTCATGCTATATGTTTACATTTAAATAACGCAGTCCTAAAAGAGTTACTTTTTAAGCCTTTGCACCTTGTTTCACTTTGTGACAGGTTCATTCAGGGTATTTTGCAAATGAAATTGAATGCTCTTGAGACAGTTGCACCTGGTGCGGCAGCTATTTTAGGGCAAGAAATGTTAAACCTAAGCAGCCAAGCCCCGACCCTGATGTCTCCTAAACCTGTGTCACATGGTGAAACTTGAACTTCCAAACACACAGTGTCTCCTGTCAGGGGAACCTGTCATGAACACGTCGTGCTGTACGCCTTCAGCCCAGCTTGGGCTGCACGCAGCACTGCCGCCCACTCCTCCAGCTGCACGCCAATTCTTGGGGTGGGGGGCTGATACCGACAGCTGACATGCTCGAGAGGTTCGAACAATGCTGGAAGATTATTTTAAGGTGTTCACAGAAAGTCGGGAAACTTCCAGTGAAAGCACCACGGTTCGCTGTGCGCGTAGGCACAGCAGCAGATCGACACGGGACGTAGCCAGGACGGGAGAGGAAAGTGGAGAAGTGCTGCGTAAGCGATGCTCTTTCCTTATTAACGCTGCGAGTCATGCCAGTCCTTTAAATAGCACGGGATATTCCTAAATCTGTCTGGCAAGCACGGGGTGAGGAGGGTTCCCCGAGGGCTCTCTACGTTTACCCAACACCCAGGTCATTCCCAAAGTGTGCCTGTACATCGCTGATGTCATTTATCTCCCCTCAGTTTATTAACTTGTATACATTTTTTTTAAGAAGTAAGTCTAAAAACCAAATATGCATGTTACGTTTTCAGTTTTGGACATTAATGAAGCAGCAGGCTAAAATCTTAAACCCCAGGAATGGTGGTTTTTAAAAAAATATATAGCTAGTTTAATTTTGCAATGTTTTTTATAGTTATAATAGATTTAATTAGGCCTTAATTAATCTTTAACTTGTTACTCTGGGAGGCACTCTGTATTCTTTAAAAGCTTGGTAACCGTACCACTCTGAGAAGTGCTGCGAAGGATACTTGTCTCTTTTTTTCTCCCCTGATGCCATCTGTTCAGTTCTCCCGGCCAGCCTTGCTGCTTTAGCCAAACGTGAGGACTGAAGAAGCAGCGCTGCGTTGCTCACTTTACTTTCTGTGTAGAATTTTCTCTTCTTCCCCTAAATGAGTGCAAAGCAAATTCTGGCATTTATTATGAAGAACTTAGCAAGAACAAGATCTTGGTATATTGCTCGTGCAACTTCACATTTTTAGTTCTCCTTCTCCCCTCCCCAACACGTGCTGACTACCTTTCCTTTATCACGATGAGGAAAAATCTGTTGTACCTACAGAACCTGCCGTAAACGTCTCCTTTAAAATCCTAATCAAGAAAAATACCGAAGCAAAGTTCCAGCGATTCCACATCGTGTCGGTCTATTCACTTATTAAAAGCTACATGCCGTCTTTTCCTGAATTGAGAAGAGGTTTTTGTTTTTACAAGGTTTCTATCTTTTTTTTTTTTTTTTTAAATAGGGAACTTTAAATTGCTGCCAGGTTATGATCTTTGTTTTGCTTTGGCATTGATTCATGAAGCTGGAACTCCTTCAAGTTTATACAGAGTGCTTTTTCGTTTTTGTATTGTGTCGGCATGTGTGCGTGGGTATAGATTGCTACAAACATGTCTTCCTGGCTTTTTTTAAAATGAATTTGAAAGCGTTTGTCTTTTAAAAAATCATTTACTTTGTAATTAAAGCTGATCTTACAGTTAAGCTCTACATTCTTATGAACACATTAAACCAAAGCATCTGACCTGCTTAACAGGCAGTTAATACAAATCTATTCATTTAGCTGTATCATTTAGTATGATACCCTAAAATGGCAAAAAAAATGCAATTTCAAACAATTTTAGGAAAATTTTGCATTGAGTTTGCTCTGAATTTTGCAATTCTTAAGAAAGACAATAAATTAATTATTTCAGGTTTTCAAAATGTGGTGGTGGTGTTGCAGTTTTAAGAGTTTTAAGATTAGTTCTTGGCAAATGCAGCGTATTTGGATTTAATAGGATATCTCTATACTTAGTTATTAAAGGAAATGCGTATAAAAAAGTGAGGTCTACTTTTGCACCATAGTATTAGCTGAAAGCTCGTGACTTGAAACTCTCATGAATAATTTGCACAATTCTACAGGAATTTGATGTTCTTAGTTTAAATGGGATTTCGTCTCCCTGGTTTTGTATAAAGTTTATACAAAATGCTTTTCAATGACAAAAGCAGGAGCAGGCTGTTACGACTTGGCCGTATCTCCTGTGTAAGGTGGCTCAGTGTAGCATTACATTCTTCTCTCTTCACTCAGGACAAACTGTTGAATTCAGCTGGGCTTGAAGATTTCAGTGTAATGCCTAGGGTTTCAACTGCTAAATAATATTGGAATTCCAGTAACACTGATTGATCATGGCAGAAATTAGGCCCCAGAGCACTGTGGCCCAAATATTCATGGTATAGACAGATAATATCTATCCAAAACAACTATGACAGTGATTTCTCAGAGGAACAGACCCCAAGCCTGCATTTATCCTTATGTAACACTATGTATTTAAACGGGGACAAATGGGAACAGATCCTTACCTTTGCTGAAGTTTATTTATAATGTAAAACTTCCCTACCCCCAGGAGCGAAAAAGATACAGGATTGAGCTGTTACTGTGTAATGGGTTTTCTATAAACCTTGGGAAAAAGAATTTAATTTCTAGAGACACAGATGAATTGAGTGCTCGGATTTCACACATAAAGAGCTCACTTGTCATTAGGTATTTTACTGAATTTTTACTGTATGAGTTTGTGTGTCTTATCAGTTCTATTTTTTTAATCACTTGGTGGAGAGGCATTCTTCCTGGCATGCACAAATATATATTTATAAGCCAAAGTTTTGAAACTCGGGTGTCTAAGAGCGAATACCTTCCTTGATGGTCAGGCATTGGAACGGTGCGCGTTTTTCCAGAGGTGCCAAGCACCCTCTTGTTCTGCTGAAGACATTGTTTTTTCCCACAGACTCACCACTGTGTTCTGTGCTGTATGTACGAACAGAGGCATGCCTAATGCCCATCCCTTCTTTGTTTTCCTGTAGACACTTGGCTATTCAATTTACATGATGCATGAATAAAGCAGAAATGGTGATATACACCATTTGATCTTAGATCCTATTAAATGATTGTTAAAATATTCCAAGCATAGTACTTTGTATAAATAAATCATTGTACTTAGCCTGGTACATCACAGTATAAAAACAGCACCAAGCAAAACAAATAAATCATGTTGTTTGATTTTACTGGTTAAGTTTAAAGAAGTATTTAACATAGTACTTGGTTATTTATGAATTAATCATAAAGTAAGTCAAAGTACTTTCATATGTTAGCTACTATTTTCAGTTCCGTTCTACAAAATGGAAGTTTCCTTTCTCATATCTTATTGGAAAATCTGCTTCTTTACAAAAAGTCTGTATTTGTTTGCAAAATGTGCTTATATTTGCTAAAATAAACGGTATTTTTGTTACTAATTTAAACAATAAACTATGAACACTAAGGTGGTAGTTCTCTTCTATAGCCATCTCAGTTAAGATACAAGTATTCAATCTTTTTCTTTATCTCTTTCAAACCTATCTCTACAAGATTTCAGCAGCGTATGTATGTATGTATGTATGTATGTATGTATGTATAAG